AGCTCCGTCATCCCTCACGTTTCTTCTTCTTCTTCATCATCATCTGAGTCCTGCACCACCACATCGGCAATCTCGTCGTTCAACAGCTCCCCAACATCGACACTCTCCGACAAGATGGCCCTCGCCTCCTCCTCTCCCACATCCATATCCTCCATGACAAGCCGCACTGCCAACTCGGGCACCAACACAGACTGCAGATACATGATGTGGCCCCTCGCAGCGATCAGCCGATCCTCCACCGCCCGCTCCCTCAGAACGGGCGCGAACTCGTTGATCAAGTTCTCCGTCATGTGCCGCAGGCCGCGCATGCCGTAGTATCCCGGCGTGAGGTTCATGTCCGACCGCAGCAGCGTGCGGTTCCGGCCCCCGCGGACCGCGTCGCTGAACAGGTCGCCGTAGTGCGAGGGCCGGCCGTCCTGAAGGATGCGGCGGATGTAGGCGTGGTGCCTGGCGATGCGGTCGTCGAGACGGCACCAGTCGATATCCGGGTAGCCCTTCTCCACCCACGTCTCCTTGGCCGAGCGCAGCTTGTGCTGGTCGCAGAACCTGCGCATATTGGCGACTGTCATGCGCGGGTTGTTGGCATTAAACTCGTCGAGATGCGCCTGGTCGACCCTCTTGCTGCAGAACGGGCAGACAGGGGTCGGATTGAGTAATTCGGGTTCTGTCTGTGATGACGACAGTGAACCGCAAAGAAGATTGGATGTGTCGGCCCTTTGGGAGCTGAAAAAGTCGAGCTTGTCGTCATCACCCCCGATGAAGGAGACTGGAAGTGCGTCTGGGATTGTGAACACCGGCCGTTGTGACTCCTCTGCGTCCTCGCCGTCGCCGAAGAGCGAGGGATAGTCGTCCGCCGGCATCTTGAAACGCCGTTTTCGGACCGGAGACACATTCGCTGGTAAGTCAAAATCGCCGCCTCCCACATCCTTGAACTTCCGGGCTGGCGACGTGAGGCCACCCCTAACTTCTGACGGTGATGGAGGGAGTTTGAGCTTGTACCTGTCCGGATTCTCCGCCTCTGGTGTGGATTCCTTCGGTGGTTGTTTGAACTTTCTCGTGGGCGACATCCTTTGCCTGGCACTGCTGGCGATCTTCTTCGACTTTGTGCCGTAACGACGCTGACCTACGACACTCTTCTTCGCGAAGATGTCTCGTTCAAATTGACTGTCTAGCCCTTCACTGTCTGGCGAACTTCTCTTTGGCTTCTTTGGGACAGGAGAGCTCATTGCGCTGTCCGTGTCAATGGCCTCTGGTCCCACAGCGGTGTCCTTTGGCCTTCCGCCGTGTTTTATCTCAGACGTGGGCCCAGTTGATGCCCGGGTCCGCTTAAGCTGTTCCGCTGGCACTGAACCATTTCTCCTGGTTTTGCCGTCCTTGGCCTCCCGATTTGACGACGCTTTCCCGTGGTAGGGGCTTAAAAAGCGACTTGGCTGGATGTTACCTTTGTCCGGTAACCCATCGTCACTCGAGTCAGAGCTGCTGAGTGGAGGGGCATCAACATCGACCTCCCTCATCTTCTTGGAGACGGTCGGCTTGCGGATGCTTTTCAGCAGAGGAGGGACGGACTGCTGGCTGCTGAGGCCAACAAAACGCCTTCCGGTCATCTCGGCGGCTTGATGATGAGAACGACCAAAGCTAGCGGTAAATGACAAAGTCGAGCGGAAGCAGTTGGCTCTGGAACTTTATAGGCGGGGGCGAAGAGTCGGGTCTTGGTCAGTTAGGCTTCAGCACGAGGAAACCTTCTCAGGACTGGGAAGTCGTCTTGGTACTGAGTTGAGAGAAAGAAGGCGGCATTGAACCAAGACCAAACCAGGATCAAACCTGGATGCACCGGTTTAGGTCATATGAACTGACGTAGAGGAACAGAATGAAATATGAAACCCAATGCTGCAAGTAGTCCAGGAAGAATGCAGAAAAGATGTGCATGTCCCTGTCATGGGTGAAATCGTGCATTCTGAATGCATCCATCCCATGGCAGGCGCGACATGGCCATTCTGGACGTGTTTGTATGCGAGTGGGTCCTGCCCCTGGCTAATGTCCCCACTTAAGCTTGTCTGCAGCCTGAGCCTCCAGCGTGCTTCGCGACGATTGGACAGGCCAAACAACCTCCTTCTTACACAGAAACTCGACACGAACTGCACCCGGTCGCGAACGGTCAGGTGTGGATGGGAATTGTGGTCACAACAACACGATGGCCTCCAACAGGAAATACGCTGCCTTGCCAGATCTGGTATGCCCACGAGGCTGAAAGCAGACAAGCCACGGTGCTAACCAACTCTTCCGCGTCTAGGACTCGGCGCCGGACATCTACGAGACCCCTGAACTGACCGACGAACTGTCGACAATTCCCGTGAGTCTATCTGGGCCATGGCAGAACTTGGCTAACTTTTCTGCTAAGCCAACCACGGTGCGGTCGCCATCCGAGGACGAGTATGACGACGACGAGGTTGACGCTACGGGGATCTCGCGGTCGCGTCTCAAGATAAACCAGGCCCGATCAAAGTTTATGCCGGCAACGGTAGACGCGAGCGATGTAGATTTCTCGGACCGCCTTACCAGCAAGAGAAGGTCGTACAAAACATCGACGCGACGACGCCGGATTCTCGAGGACGGCACCGAGGAGTTGGGCAACTTGAGCGACGAGGACGATGCTGGGAATCTGGTGCGGAAGATTGCTCGGCTAAAGAGGGAAGTCGAGGAGGCCAAGGCGGAGTATGGGAAACAGAAGGTGGCAGCAGAGAATCCCGAGGGAGAGGAAGTTGCGGAGGACGACATCGAATCACTTAGCCGGGCGCTGGACGAAATGTCGAGACTCGACGAGTCTCTAGCGCGTCGCACTCTTGTTCTCCCTCCACCAGCCAGTCTTGGTGACAAGGCTACCGGAGAGTCCAGAGAACCTGCCGCCCCCACGATGGCTTCGGCACCGAGCTATGAGCAGACCTACGCCTTATCCAAGGCCGCGGACTTTGACAGCCGCCTTCTCGTTTTAGAAAAGGCGCTGGGTGTTGGGTCGTCAGCGATGCCCGAGTTCGACTCAAACGGTCTACCACGTGCCATCATTCCTCTTCTCGAACAGTTGCACAAGCAGGTCTCTACTCTGTCCGAAGCCTCGGTTCCCTCGCTGGATGGCATCAGTCGGAGGGTACGGGCACTGACACAGGAGGCCGAGAACCTTGAAAAGGCCCGGCGGAACGCCAAGGCAGCGAACGATGCCCTTGCTTCCACCGGAGCAGCACCAGCGCCTGAGGCTGCTGGCACATTGGATTCGGAGCAGACATCCAAGATCAATGCTCTTTACGGGACCCTACCGACCATTGAGAATCTGGCGCCGCTCCTGCCGCCTCTACTTGACCGACTGCGGTCGTTGCGGATGATCCATGCGGATGCTGCGTCGGCATCGGAGACGCTGGAACGTCTTGAGAAAAAGCAAGCCGACATGGCGAGCGAGATACAGCAGTGGCGGGAAGGCCTTGAGAAGGTCGAGAGCGCGGTCAGGGCAGGAGATGCGACCATGGTCAAGAATGTGGACGTCATGTCGGGGTGGGTGAAGGATCTTGAGGAGAGGATGGCGAAGTTGTCTTAGCAAGCAGCCAAGTGATACCCATTGCAAATAGCTATTTTAATGCTCCCTGCACTCAAAAACCCAGGCTCCCGCTCAGGTTCTGGCCAAGATGCTTGTCTGCTGGATGTACTCAAAAGTAACCTGTGGAGGGGTTTGAGAGTGGGTCAGCCATTGGCCAATCAAAACAGCGAGGAGCTGCTTGCTGGGAAGATAAATTCTCCAAGGAAAAGCTCGCTCCCAGCTTTTTCCTCTTCATCACAACCAGCAGCAAAAAGGTCGCAGGCAACACATCTTGCACGCCTTTTTGCCAACGGCCACCAACAGACGCAGGGTTAGCTGAAGGCTGGTATCGTCGGGACACTATGTCTTGGGCAGCGCTGCCAGGGTGATGCACGTGATAGCGAGCTTGCTCTAAGCTTTGGGCTTGCAATTCCTCGGAGTCGCTTCCTCTCTTCTTGACGCAACCCGCAGCAGGATAAGAAATCGTAAGTTGGACAATCCCCATCTACGCACCTCGCTTTTCCCCGGTTGGATGATGCATTAAACTGCATGTTTTTTTCCTGAAATCCTTTGATGGTTCTCTCATTACACCAAGATCTCTGACAACCCCCACCTTGTCCGGCTTTATCTCGCAGACAGCCTGGCAGCACGAAGCTAACAACTCTGCCAAAGTAGGACGATGACTCCGAAACCCCCACCAGGCTACTTCAACATTCTGTACTTTGCCAGCGCCGGCTCGTACACGTCCAAGAATGTCGAGGCGCTGCCGGCGCCGCTCCCACTGAAGAAGCTCTTTGCCACTCTCGAAGAGCGGTACAAGGGAATTCGAGCAAGTGTGTTAGACCACAGTCTGGTTACGATCAACTTGACGTATGTGGACATGCCGGATGATGAAGGTGGTGACGGGGAGGCAGAAGACGTGGTGATACAGGAAGGCGACGAGGTCGCCATCATTCCCCCGGTTAGCTCCGGGTGACGAGCAGTCAACGTCCAACAAATACAAGATTATTGAATCAACCATTTGGTCCCAAGTAGTTCCGACACCTTGTCATCGCATTCCCAGCCTTCCACGGAAGCGTCCGATTTCTGGATCATGTCCACTTTCCAGGTCCCAACAAGCAAAGGTTAAACCCAACCCAACCTCGCTGAGCCCTCCAGGGTATGGCTGGTGCTTGGGGCAGAGCCATCCGCCTGTAAAAGAATCCTTCGAGTTTTCTGATCCTTAGCTTTTGTGCTGTCGAGTTCCAAGATTACCACTCCGACTTGGCCGGTGAGAACGCTCACACATGGATAAGATGCACACATTGTGAACGAAACCAGCCAAGCGAACACCATACCTCGTTCTTGATAGTTTTCGGCACAAAAAGAAAGACGAAGAGATCTTCCGACCGTCCTGTGATAGTTGGAAAAGAATGAAAAAGATATTGCTGGTAGGCAATGGATACACCCGGGATCGAACCGGGGACCTTTCACAGGGCGCATCGCTGGTTAGCAGGTGCGAAGCGAAAATCATACCACTAGACCATGTACCCAATTGATTCGTTGAAGAGGATTCTGTTTCCCACGTTTCTATTGTCCAGATTTTGGAAATCCCACAATTACGGCGCACATATCCCAAAAACTCCGCTCTGGAACCTCAACAAATAATTCGGGTACATGGTCTAGTGGTATGATTTTCGCTTCGCACCTGCTAACCAGCGATGCGCCCTGTGAAAGGTCCCCGGTTCGATCCCGGGTGTATCCATTGTTCACCAGCAATAACTTTTTCTATCTTTTTCAACCTTGCAGGTTGAATGCAGTATTTTTTGGACAGAATGTTGATGCAAGTGAAGGGGAGGCGCAATTAACCCTTGTGTATCACATCCTGTGTGAGCAGCTCTCAAACCCATACAACCCAAAACTCAGAACCCGTAAACAGGCTGGAGATTTTTTTTGGCATCTGCCCTAACTCTTGACAATGCTCCGCGCCCTGCGCCTCTCGTCCTCGTTCAGCACCCACATCATCTCCCCGTCCCCTTCCTCCCCCGCCAGCTCCTCCCACTCCTCGTCCTCCATGTTGGCCACCATCAGCACCTGCGCCGTCCGCCCAAACACCTCCCGCACCGCATAGTTCCCCTTGCTGATGGTCCCCACGATGCCGCTGAAATCCCTCTCCATCCGGATCGCCCCGTACGGGCTCGTCCGGCCCCCGGCGTAGCTCCACACCCGCTTCTCGAGCACGCGGGCGAGGTAGTCGGCCGTCAGCTCCAGCAGGGTGGTGTACGTCTTGGGCGTCATGAGGCGGGCGACGGGCCGCATCAGCGCGTCCCAGCCGTGCTCGAACACGCGGGGCACCTGGTCGAGCAGGTCATCCTCGGCCTGCCCGTTCTGCGCCGCCACGTCGGCCAGCTCGTCCTCGGTCAGCGTGTAGTCGGCGTCGCGGAACGTGTCGGTCAGCACGGGCCGCAGCCGCGGCTTGATCACCTGGCTGAAGAGCACCTTGATGCCCTCGGTGAGGAGCTCGGTGGTCTTGGCGGAGAAGGAGGCGTTGAGGTTGTTGAGGCGCGCGGCGACCTCGGCGGCGTCGTTTTTAAAGGGGAAGGCGTCCTGGAGGGATTTTGTGTGGGAGCCGCCGTTGGCGTGCTGCTGCTCTGCGGGCTTGAGGAAGTTGGAGACGATGCGGGCGAGGTATTCGTTGGCTAGGTCGAGGCTGTTGATGAGGACGATGAAAGAGATGATGGTGGCCTCGGGGGGGAAGTTGCCCTGGACGGCGGGTCTCGGGTAGGATTCGTCGCGCATCTTGCGCTGAATCATACCGACAAAGTCGGAGCCGAGGAGGCTGGAGATGGTAGGGAGAACCGAGTCGACGACGCCTCGTTGGGATGTTGAGATGGATCTTCGGATAACGGTGTTGACGATGTACATGACCACGTCAACTGCCGATATGATGAATGGGGGGTTGCTGTCTATTGACCTGCTCATGCTCAACGACAGTCCGCTAGGCGACTCGTCCAGCTGGAATGCCTTCTCGACGGAGCGCCGGAAGAAGAATGTGGTGAGCACGTTGTACGGTCCCACGAGCTTGCCCGAGACCTTTCGACTCAAATTGGCCTTGATCAAAACGTCCGGAATGGTGAGGGGGGCGTCGTCAGGCGTATCAGGGTCCTTGAAGATGGTCAGCTTCGACATGAGATCTGAATCTGCGTGTCGACTCACCTTGCACTTTGCAGCAAGAAATCGGGAGTAGACGGACCACTTCTCGAGCATCACGGCGATCTCGACAAGTAATGCGTCGACCTCCCTCATGTTGACACCCTCGTCCTCGCTGTTCCGCGCATCGTTGGTGCCACCCCCGACTGCGGGGGAGTTCACACGTGGTGTCCCTCCAAAGCCGCGGGTCGGCGGCAAGAAGCTCTGCACGAGGAACGAGAAGGGGTAGCTCCTGACGTCGGTGAGCCTCCGGTCCACCGTCCGGTCGTCGCTCCACGAGTCCAAGATGATACCTCCCTGGACGTCCGCCTCCATCTGCAGCCTCTCAATCACCTTGACCATCTTGCCCGTCCCGTAGTGCCGCTCCACCAGTCCGCCGTGCGCTTCCACGATGCGCGCAATGTGATCGAACAACCTGGTCAGGGCATTCGCGAAGAAGACGCCGTCCTTTCTCCCCTGGCCTCCACCAGGGCCCGTCCCCTCCTTCAACGACGCCCTCGCCTCGCCGGCCACACCCTGGCAGATATACTGCCCGTACACGTCCAGCCCGACATCCCCCCTCCCGATCAGCGGGAAAAGCTTGAAGAACCGCGTCACCTTGGCCGCATCGCCCTCGGCGGCCGCCTTCTTGAACTCCCTCAGGAACAGGTTGCACAGACTCTCCCGCGCCTCCTCGAGCGTCACCCACGGCGGATCCGGCACCTCGACGGTCGGCACCACGGCGGCGGCGAACCCGCCCCGCACGATGTCGTCGGGCACGCGGGCGGCGCGGCTGATGTAGCCGGCGGCGGCCTCCCAGTCCTGGGGCGCGCCCATGCTGCCGACGACGCCGGCGACGCAGGCCTTGAGCTCGGCGACCTGCTCGACGACGCGCAGGGTGTCCTCGACGCGCTGCTTCTCGAGGTCGAGGGCGCGCACGCGGCCCGACAGGCGCGAGGCCGTCTCGGAGGCCGAGGCGAGCATGTTGTTGGAGATGCCGCGGGCGGCGATGACCTGGGCGCCGAGCCCCGCGCGGAGGTTGTCGAGGCGGGAGAGCGAGCGGGCGAGGTCGGCGTGGGTGGAGAGGAGGGAGGCGAGGCGGGTGGTGAGGGCGGACTCGCGGGCGTGGAGGGAGGAGAGGGCAGCGCGGATCTCGGAGGGGGTTGTGGCGGTGCGAAGGGCGGCGGAGGGGTCGGCGTCTTTTTTGGGGGGTGGTTTCGGAACTGTTGTGGTCGTGGTCGTCGTCGTCGTAAAGGTCGTCATGGTGGGAGGAGGGTGAGAGGGGATCCCGCTCCCGCTGCCGCTGCCGCTGCTGATGCTGCTGTTGTTATTGATGGCGGCAGACATCTTGGTTGTCGAGTGGGTCGCGGAGCCATTGGGAAAGGCTGACATTGGTATTGCCGTCGCGACAATGGCGGGGCATTGCTGCTGTGCGGCAGGGTGGAAGGTTGGGTTGGCGATGCCCGGTGGAAGCTGAAGCTGTTCGTTGAGGGTGCTTCAGTGGGGATGTGGTCGGTTAGTGGTACGTTACAGTACACGCCCAGGCAGGGGTGGATCGTCACGCCAATTTGATCAGCCCAAGCTTGTGATCACACAGAAATCGTAATTCATGTATTTCGTATTGTGTAACATAAGACCACATTCATCAACGGCTTTCAGATGACCAAACAACTTCCAATCCAACAAACCCCTTTCGTAGACATCGTCAAAATCAACAAGGAAACACATGAGACTGGTCAAGTTTTTAGGAAAAAAAAAAGAAAAACATGCAAGCCTGCCAGCACGCTACCGGGTCTACTGCCGCAGGATGTCCTTCGCAGCGGTCAAATCCTCGATCTTCCTCGCCAACCGATCGCGATACTCCCTGATGCTCGGAGACTCGCCCGCGATGGCATCGAGCTGGTCAGGTCTCAGCCCAATCACCCAGTCCTGGCTGAACACGCCAAGCGGCGTGGACGGGCCAAAGAGCAGGCGGTAGTTGACGGCCTGGTTCAGCACATTGTCGACGAACCGCTTCCGCGCGATGTCGTAGTACGCGCTGAGGTCGTCATGGAGCTTCTCGACCACGTCCTCGATGTTGGACTTCTTCTCGGTCACGCTCTGCACCTGTGCGATGGTCACCAGGTGCCGGTCGTCGTCGTCGATCGAGATGCGCTTCAGACGCTCCGCGATCCGCTCGCCGCGCGACCGCTGCCGGTTCTCGTTGAAGTGGTAGTCGAGCGTGTACGGCTTGGCGTCGCGCTCGGCAGAGACGAGGAAATCGGCCGCCGTCATTCCCGCCTCGTAGCGCCGCAGCAGCTCATCGAGGATGGCCGACCACAGCTCGTCGCGCACGTTGGTATCCACGCAGACTTCGCCGAGTGCGGCCGTGATGAAACGGTGGATGGCCACAATGACCCGGGTCATGAACACCTTGCTCATCCCCGGCCATTTGCTTGATTGCTCCCTCCACGCGCCCGCCCAGACGGCACTGTTGAAGGTTCCGAGATCCATGCCGCGCGACCGCGTATACAGGCCGCCGATCCAATCCATGATGCCGCCTTCCGGCTTGCTGACCTCGAATTCGTGGCTGATGATATTTTCGAGCTCGGGAAAGTCCTCAGAGTCAATTTCTTGGGCAAACTGAAGGATGATGTTCGCACCTGTGTCGGCAAACAGACCACGGTCCTCGTTTTCCTCATACTCCTCCCCATCTTCGGCAATGGCGTCGAATTTGCGCAGGGCTGCCATCTTTTCAAACTCCTCACTGAAGGCGTCGGCGAGATTGACAATCTGCGTCACGAGACGCAGCTTGATCGAGTTCTCAAACGCGGCGTCGCCAGCGTACTGGGCCTCGAGCGCCTGCCTCACCCGCTCCTGGAATCGCCCGGCGATGCCGCTCAAGAACTGGCGTTGTTCCTGCTCGTCCTTGCGGGACGGACCAAGTGCGCTTTGCTCCCTCTCCGTGGCCTGGAGCATATTATTGATTTCCTTCCGCAGTCCTGAGAACTCGCGTTTAGCCATGTGCCCCAGCAGCTCCGCGAGGCGTTTCTTGAGCGCTCTAACTCCGACCCTCTCCGGCGGAAGGCTGCTCCAGGGCTTATCTTTCTCTTTGAAGAGATCCTCCCGGCGACTGAAGTCGGCATCGTCCTGGTCGGCACCACGGCTCCTGACGAGGTAGTACCCCAGTGTGAGCTGCTTCTTCTTCCCGCGGACAATATTGCACACGGACTCCATCGCGCTCCGCTCCGTCACCAGATCAGGCTTGGTCAAGATGCCCAGCGTGCGCTCCCCGTTCTTGTCGTACTCGGCGGCCATGGTCAGGATCTCCTGGTTCGAGATGTCGATGTTGCTGGGGAGCACGGCCAGGATGACGGTGCGGCTG